GGGCTCTCCTTTAGGTGCTTAGATGCACAAAGTTGGTGGAAGAACATCTCTTTGGGACTCTTCGAGCCATGAAAGACACTAGGAACAGCTATCTTCTGACTAAATAGGTATTTTTCTCCCTCAATTCATTGGCTGAAAAATATCAAATACAAACATACATACACATGGAGATCATGGCAACTAAGGCTCTCTGATTTGCTCTGACCTATTATAGCTGTTTTGCCGGTGATCGAGATCAAGCAGAAGAGCGCTTATTTGGAAGAGGTAGAAGGAAGTGGGACGGTAGGGAAAGGATCACCTTTCGAGCTAGATCCATTTAGACCCTGGTCAACAGAATTGGATCAATCAAATCTAGCTAGTCTCCGAGATGCTGGTCGATGTCTGGCAAGTTCCAGTTAAAATCTAGTGGGCGAGCCCAGCCAGGGGTGTTGCCAAGTGTGCATGTGGGCACCTCGTATGCCAGTCTTCGACTCTATCTCATAGAACCCGGCTAAGTTATTGGCTGGTCGTCAATTCATGAAAATGTTCTTTCTTTTCCCTTTACCCCTTCCCCTGCGCATATGCCCTATTTTAGGGCTTCACTGTGACAGACTCTTTGTCTGTCTGCCTTAAACCCCACCTGATACAGGACCTAATCCTGCAGGTCAAGACTGGCAAGCAGATGCGGTGTCTCTAACGAGGCTTTCCTGATTCCATCTAACAAGTACCCTGCCAGTGAAAATCTTCAGACGACCAACAGAACTGTCATTCTACCGAGAGAGTCAGAGTAACATTAGTTAATATAGCGACGCTGAGCTTTGCCATGTTGCAAGATCACAGGCCGAATTTCACAGTTAAAGTCCGTTTGGCCTCGAGCGAAGCTGGAAAAATGCGGGCCACAGTCACCTGCATTCTAATCATTCTTCTGGCACTGCTTCATTCCAGCCAAGGTAAGACTGGGTGAGAATGTTTTAGCTACAAGCAAAATCAACACTTCAGCGATGATAATATTCTAGAAGTTCTTCCCTTCTCATCATCACTGTTTTCTTACTTAGCCTTTGCAAACATACAAGATTAGGTTATAAGAGAAATAACACTAGTAACCGCATACTATGTTGCCTGAAAATGCACATTTATTTCATCAAATAAACAAAAATTTTCAATAATACACTTTGGAATTTAGATATACTATTTAGATGCACTTTATTTTATATTCATAATTTTGCGATTTTCTTTATTCTACCTAACTTAAGCTAATGCTTTCAAAATACTATAAAAATGTGCACGCCATTTTGATGAATTTCTGGCATCTATAATATTTTCATATGAGTCATCTAAATATACAGGACATCATTTTCTTAGATCTATGAGCAAGGCCTCCGCAAAATTATAGCAATTATTGAAGATGTGAAGACCAAGATGTTGTGGCCTCGGGTATCGTCGCAGTCTCCTTTCGACTTATAAAAGTTGGTTGACCTCGTTGTCGCAACTTGGTCAAGTCCACGGTCAGATGCTAGGAATCAAGACAACTACTATGGCAGATGACTTCGGACTCGGTGTGTTCTACATAGTCTCCCTGAACAAAAGACCAAGTTGCGACAACGAGGTTAACCCACTTCTATAGCAATTATTGTTACTTCGTGCAAGAAGATTCAAGTTAAATGTTCATGGAATTATGGTAAATAAAGTTGAAGGGTAGTGATAATCATCAATGATAGAATGGGCCTAAATATGTCTAACTAATTTCAGCATTTACTTAAAATTTATTTTTTTGATGAATTTAAAACATAATTCATCGTAACCGTTTAAATTTTTTTCACAGGTGAACCAGTAAGGAGATTAAAACGTCTACCTAGGGTAAGTGTTCCATATCTTGAATTTTTTTAAATTTTATGTTTATTAATTCAACTACAAGCGTCTTAAAAGTTATTAAATTTTGTAAAATTTATAATAAAGATATTAAAGTGAGATAACAAAAAAATATTTTCTGCAAGAATGTGATTAATCAGCTCGCATAATAAAGATAATCGAATGGTTGGAGAAGCTGAATAATTTAATTTAATTATCAAAGAAATAAAGCATCTCAGATATTTAACGAAAGGAACTAATTATTTTTAAAACAAAATAAGCATTTTTATTATAATTCGAGTGTAATTTAAATTTAGCATAGATAATCACTTTCATTGCATATTCTCCTTTGTTAAATCCTTTGAGATGTATTTTGCCTTGGAAACTTCCATACTCTTCTAATATTTTTTATACATTGAAAGATTAAGCTAACTTCACTTATTTTAACACAGAAGCTAAAGCCTTTAATAAGTCCGAAATAAGGCTTGTTATTTTAAGAAACTAATTTCAAGCACGCTTTTTCAATGCTTTTTGATTGTCATTAATTGAGGGCAAAATAAGATTTTTCGTTAGTTAATATGTTATAAGTGATGAATATTTATATAAGGAACGCTTTTTGAGGAATTAAAAATTTAAATTAAATCTAAAACATTTAAAATATTGCAAAACTCAAATTATTTATTGGCAACATAAATATTTATTTAAATGAAAAAATAAAAGCAACGAATTAAATGTGATATTTAAAGCATATTATGCAATAGCTTGCTATTAATAGCACATTAAAGTTGAGCATAAACTAGATTGACGATGTATTTTAAGCAAACTTAAGGTAATGAAGAGACCAATTGCAAAATTAATTAAATTTCAAGCTTTGGCTTTAATCCAAAGAATTGGGTTTTGGAAAGCGCTAAACTATACTTATTCAAAATTAAGCTGGATAATCTAATCAAAAAATCCCTTTCAATTTAATCATATGCTCTCTGAGAGAAAGAGACAATTATCGCCATGAATTAATGTTCTTCATTAGAACACTTTATGAGCTCTTTATTATTTTTTCTTCATTATTGTCTGTATAAGCATTGATCTAGCATCTATTTTTATGCCATAACCACAATAATCAATCAATTTATGATTATAATATTATCAAAACTCAGCATCATATATCGTATAGAGTCATATTAAATGAATATACATGAGAATTATTCAAATGCAATCTAGAAAATTTTCAAAATAAGAATTAAATGTTATTTTGTTACTCAGTATATATAGATTTTACTATAGTTTCTAAATGCCTTGGATGGTTTAACGAGTTGTCTTGGATTAATACCTCAATGTTTACATTTTATTTCTCTTAAGTTATTAATGAGCAAACCATATAGTACGATGAAAGGGCATAAGGTAAGTTACTGGGCTTAAATGTAATATTCATAAACTACAGAGAAAGATCTAATGTATTG